GGGTAAAACCCTTAACTTAGCCTTGGGGAGATTATTATGTTTTATCTTTGAGGCAGAAGGAAATTCCCCTGCTAAGAATTTGACCTAGCAGAGCTCCCTGGTGATGTTTGTGGCAGATGTTGGCTGTGTGACAGACTTAAGTCTTTCTAGTCTGGTGGGGTCAGTTTTGGATGTTGCCAGAAAATCTGTTGGCTATTTTGGTCAGAACACCCTCTTGGAAGAAAAGGTTTGAATCAGGTAATTGTGAACTTCTCCATGCTTTATGGAAACGTTTCTGAACTTGAGAATTGAAAATCACTTTTTCAGCTTTTGACATAAAATTTGGGTTTTTAATATTCCGTATTGCTGTAAAAATGATCGAGCTGTTTAAGTAAAACAAGGTGATGTTCTATGAATTCAATTGGAAGAGTCCTGGAGTCCTTCATAAGCTTGTACTTAGCTGTCAAAGCACCATAGAAGTGCTGCTTCATTTTACAGCCAAACATATTGTTGGTTAAGGCTTTTAGTACTTGTTGCTACTAAAAAAAGCTAAATTCAACATGTTATTTAGGAGACCTAGACTATATTATAATTAATTAGTTTGGAACATCAGAGTTACTGAGAGCTAATTTACATATAATAAAATTAATCTTTTAAAAAGAGTACGAGGAAGCTTCAAAAAGTTCTGGAAAAATAGAGTTCAAAAACAATGAGATTTCCCCATGAACTCTTCAAAGTTCCCTTGTACATTAAGAGATTTTATAAGCATGCTGTTGTAAAACTACCACCACAGTTGAGTTACAGAATATTTTTATCACCCTAACAACTTCGTCTTGATTTTTTGCACTCGATTTTATCCTCCTAGGTGCACAGTCTTTCGGGAGCCCTGGTGGCATAGTGGGCCATTCATTCTGTGGAAGAAAGATGAGGCTTTCTCTACCATAATGGTTTATAGCCTCAGAAACCCATAGGCAGCTGTGCTCTAACCAGGCAGGTAAAACCAAACCTGACTTGATTCTGACTCATAGTGACCCCACATAGACCTCATATAACTCTTTACCGGAGCAAACAGCCTCGTCTTTTTCCTGCGGAGCATCTGGTAGGTTTGAACTGCCAACCTTGCAGTTAGCAGTTCAATACCTAACTCCCAGCTCCACCAGGGCTCCTTAGCGATGTACTGTAGTTTATCTGTTTACCATTGGCATTGCTACGAGTGTTCCAGTGAACACGTACATGAGTTTGTGGCAAACAGCGTGTTTAAATTTCAGCAGCTGGCTGCAGAAAAATTCTCTCAATAATGTACTTGTCTTAGTGTCATTTGGGGATCTTTAAAAAAATGAAAGGCCCAATCCTTGCTGTTGGTTGTAATTCCCTAGTTGTTCCCTTGTCTATGGCATTGTTTGCTCACCACATCCTTCCCCCACACCCCACCTTCTCCCCACAAGACCCTCTGGGGCCATTGACCCTGTTGATTTCTCCCTGAGCTTGCGTCCCATGCCAGTCTTATATAAGTAGGCAAACCAACGATGATATAGACCAAACCACAAGAAAAAAGACTGAAAAAAAAAAAAGAAAAAGAAAAAACACAGTACGTAATTCCAGGTCTGTCCGCTGACCTTTTTGGCTCTCTCCCCCCAGGTCCTGTGGGATTCTGGGAGCTGCCCTCTGAGCCTGGAGTCTATTTGGGGGATCTTTAGAGGATTTGTGGTTTGCCTTTGCTCCAGTTGCTGATCTGTTATGTTCCCTTCTTGGTTTGCCCTGCTGTGAGGGGTTCAGACCATACTGCCTCCCTGCCGTGTGTCCCCATTATTGTCCTCTGTTGCAGTATGCTCCAGTAAGAGGACAACATGTCCTGAGCTACTGTCAGCCCTACAGTCCTCTCAGGGACACTGTCATCTGGGCTTGGTGTGCCAATATGTGTTCTAGACTGACTGCCCCTTTCTCTTTTCCTTATTGGTCTGCTTCTGTGTGGGCGTGGCATGTCAGCCCCTGTCCCCCCCTGAAGGTTTAGTGTTGCTCTCTGTCACACATACTTCCAGGGCGGGGGTCAGGTTGACTTTGGTTGGGGTCGGCCCTGTAGCCCAGTCTTCGTGCAATCCGCCAGGTGGTTATGTTGCCCTCCTGGTTTGGTGTGCCATGGTGGGGTCTGTATGCACACTCCCAATTCTGTGGAGACACAACCAGTACTCTCCCCCTGGGTGGCTTAGTGCCCTGCTTCCCTCCCCCGTGTCTCCCTCCCTCTTCCCTACTTCCCCCTTCTTGGTGTTAGATTCACATGTACCTCCTCGGGTTTAGCCTGACCCGCACCTGACTGCCTGTACCTCAACGCGTATAGTGTGAGGTAAGTGGCTTTTCTTCTATACCTACTGCGCTGATCGTACTTTCCTCAGGGAACTCACGTTGGACCTGTCCTTTTATGATTGGCTGACCTTGCTTAGTATAATTTCCTCCAGCTCATCTCATGAAACAACTGTGCTTTTTAGTGCTGCATAGTACTCCATTGTGTGTATGTGACAGAGTTTACTAATCCACGTGTCTATTGATGGAAATTCAGGGTATTGTGAATTGCGCCACAGTAAGCATTGGAGTGCAGACGACTGGTGGTGTTTTATTTCTTACTCCCCCTCTTTTTTTTTTAGTCATTTTATTAGGGGCTCGTACAACTCTCATCACAATCCACACATACATCAATTGTGTTAAGCGCATTTGTACATTCATTGCCCTCATCATTCTCAAAACATTTCCTCTCCA